CTTATAGCTGTAGCCACTATAGTGGCTACTGCTTCAGAACTGGTTGGACACCACGGCTTTAAATGGTGATAACAGGTACAATTCGGACAGTATTTCCTTCTTAACAGCCACTATTATACTGTTTTAATGCCATGTAGATGGAATCGGAGGACGTGACTTTCTGCTTCTTAGCTCATGGCTTGCTGCTCTCCAAAATGGCTGTAGACAAAGGCCTCAGTTCTTAAAACATTAAAAGGCCTTTTACTTATAGAAGCGTAGTGCTGTTGATGTGCTTTGGCCTTTGCCTGAGACAAAGTCTGACAATCAGTATTTTTTGGTAGCCATAGTTTACTTTGCAAAGTGGCCTGAACTTCCAGTAAGGAACAAAGATGCTGTGATTGCAATACAGATTCTACTGAATGAATTCTTCACCAGCTCTGGTGTTGTGAATTAGTTACACATGGATCAAGGGAGAAATTTTGAATCTGTGGTGTTTCAATAAAGTTTCTGAGATTCTAAGGAACCACAAAACTCTCACCACCACAGCACACCCAAAACCTGATGAGATATTGTAAAGGTTCAATTGGATTCTGTGGGGGGGGGTGGGGGGGGGGGGGGAGGTGTTTCAGCTGGCTACCTTTGTAGATCAGCACGAAAAGTGACTTTAAGTAATCAAAAGGAAGGGGATATGCTATTCATAGAACAGCTGTCAAGGAGAATACCCCAGCATTTCTCACATTTGGGCATGATCTGGTAGAGAGTTTATTACAAGGAACAAAGGAATTTGTCCCCATTTGGGCTATATAAAAACCTTACAATCCCAAACTGAAAAAGTTCACATATTTTCTAGAACAAAATAGAGGATACCCTCTGATAAATTGAAAAGGCTCAGTGTCATATGGGGAAATTTTTAAAAGAGGATTTCTTGTCTGAGTCCATAATCCTAGGAGAAAGAAGATTATGAGTATTAACATGGTTAAATCTTGGGAGGGACCGTAAGAACATAAGAACAGCCATAGTGGGCTAGACCAAAGGTCTATCTAGACTAGTATCCTATCTTTTCACAGAGGCCAATGCCAGGTGCCCCAGAGGGAATGAACAGAACAGGTAATAATCAAGTGATCCATCTATTGTCACTCATCCTCAGCACTGACAAACAAAGGCTAGGGATACCCTCCCTTCCCATTGCTGGACCTATCCTCCATTAATTTATTTGGTTCTTTTTTGAACTCTGTTAAAGTTGTGGCCTTCACATCATTTGGAAGGGATGTTAAATCTAATTATATTATGGTTATTACAGCCCATCTCGACTTACGACCACCTCCATTTACTAACATCCATACTTATGACCAAAGCGGTTGTAAATGAGGTCCCCGAGTTATGAACGCGATCTGCACTTACGAACAGCGCGGTCGCCATGTAACTCAATGGGATCTGAGTTACGAACACTTCGAGTTACAACCAAGTGTTTGGTCTGTAACGTGTTCGTAACTCGGGGACCGGCTGTATTACCAAATGGACCAGATCCTGTGCTCCATTTAGAACTAAACCAAGAATTGCTTCTCCTCTTGTGGGTTCTAAGACTAGCTGCTCCAAAAAGCAGTTATTTAACAAGCCTCTTAGTTTTGTGAGCTGATTACCTCTACCCAGGAGTAAATATTTGATTTCCCATATTGAAGCTAAGATAGTTCTAAGCCATCACACTAATAGTTTGTTCATATGTTATAGAGTCACTAGGTACATAGGACAAGAGATAGGCAGTTGTAAGTCACTGACTTGCTCTGTGTTTACAAGTTGGACAAGCCTCATTGGCAAGGTATGCCCTGCACAACATGGGCACAAGATGGTTACTCATGAGCACTAGTTCCTGCCTGGCCTCCTACGTGTAAATGTGTAATTGGTGAAAAATTCCGTGGTTACACATTTACAAAAATAAACTATTGCTAACATCCCTAGTTCTAATAGGAATTAATCCAGAGAAGACATCTAGTCTATGTTATGCAGCAGGTGAGACTAGATGATCATAATGATCCCTTCTGGACTTATAATTTATGAAAATGTCAAGTACTATTTAAAAACAAACAAACAGAAGCCATATCACACAGACCTAAATCACATTCAAACCAATGTCTAAACAAATGAGAGATGGCTCATTCTAAGTACTATCTAACCTTGAAAAATAAGTTGATGATCTCGAAATATTTTCAGTTTAGAAAAAATACAGTTATATTTTTTCTGTAAATCTTTCAGGCGAATGGGCCCAAATCCTACATGAAGTAGAAACTCTTAGCTTCTATTGACCTTACTTAAAACTTGGTGTGCACAGCATCTCTCAAAAAGTCACTCACCAAATTTTAGGATTGAATTGTTAGAGAACAAATCACAAGTTTTCTTCTACCCAATCACTTTTATGAAAAATTCTGGCAAGTACACATAAGTACTTACTGAGATAAAGATGTTAAGGAGGTTTTCCAGCGTTGGGAGCTGTGGAATCAGTTTCTGTACCACTTTGCTAAAGGCTTCAAATATAGAATGATCATATATGCTTGTCAGATAAAAGCTGGAAAAAATGTCACCATATTTTCCTTTTAGCCATGTAAGAGGAACATTCTGAGTCTGTCATAATGAGCATGTAAAATATTTTAAAAAACAAAGTACTTAAAGTTATGTATTTTCCGCTTGTAATAAGAAGTTGCATAATATTTCTCAAACAATTCTTTAACAAACTGAAGCCAATAATTAGAACAATTGCATCTATTTTCATGGCTATACAGCATGACAATACACATTAAACCATAGATATAGCAAAGCTGTGCTACATATGGAATTTAATGATGTAGCTCCTATTTCAATATTCTCTGAAAAGCATTTTCAGTTAACCAGAAGAGCAATATTACATAGCTGTTATGTACTGTATTGCTTTACATCCGTGGTCCCCAACACGGTGCCCGTGGGCGCCATGGCGCCCGCGGGGGCCTTTGGCGGCGCCCGCCAAGTGCTCAGGGCTGGCCTGGCCCCGGGCGCGCGGCGCTTGGGGGGGT